GCCACTGCATTTCAGTAGAAAATGCCCCATGGGTCATTTGGGTGCCTCAGTCAGTTAAGCGTACGATTCTTGGTTTTATCTCAGGTCATGATCTTGCAGTTCGTAGGTTCAAGCCTCACATCCAGCTCTGCACTGACAATATAGAGCACGCTTGGAATTCTCTTTCTCCCTCTCTCTCTCTCTGCTCCCATTCCCTCAAAATAAATAAGTAAACATTAAAAAAAGGAGGAAAAGAAAAATAAAATGGCCCATATAGCAAAGGGGCGTTGACCAAGATTTTCTCCTTGCCCAAATTCTTCTGAGGCTACTCTGAGCTCTTTTTCAACTATGGCCTGACTTTTGGTCTTGTATATTTATCTCCGCAAGAACCCCACTAAGTGAGTTTAGCCAGAATGCCCCATCCTTAGTATGTGAGCACCCTCAATATCTGATCAGATTCCTCATCCTCCACTATCCCCCAGGTGATGTGATCACCCTGGCCTACCTTCAGCAAAAATCCTGTTAGGCCAGTTTAGCAAGAGTCTCACCTTACTCCTCATGTTTCCTTTTAGTAATTCTCCATCCATTGACCCCCACCATGCTTCTTGGCTCTAAATTCCCATTTGCTCATGCCATATTCAAAGTTGAACCCAATCTCTCTCCTCAACAGCAAAATCCCATTGCAGTGGTCCCTAAACCTATCGAGGTAGTCTCCACTTGAATAAAGTCTTCCCTACCATCCTAAACAAAGATGATGAATAACTTTTTCTTTAACAACATCAACAGGAAAAGCCAAGATGTCTGCCTCCAAGGAGTCTGCACAAGTAAAATTGAGCTTAATGAATTCGCTACAGTCTAGGAACTGGTCTTTAGCTTGCAGGAACAGGGCAAAATACATGTTTTGTTAGCATACTAATGTAGGTTTGAGTCTGAGGGGTGGGCTCTCATTAATCAAGTTCTCACAGACTGATATTATACACCACAATGACAATTTATTCATTTAGAAGAGGCTCATCCATCGAGCAGAAACACTCATGTGATTATGCCAACACATTCTCTTCCTGTGAACAAGTGACATGAAGAACTAAATTATCAGCAGAAGGCCACTTTATTAATGTTCAATTTAAAAACATAGCTATCAGCAGAGAATCTGATCCATCAGTCTGATTGATAAATACCTTTGAATAAATAGATAAAAGTTAAATGATCAAAAAATTACTCTTATGAACATTGACCAGAACAAAGGACTATAGAGAATCTTGAAAAGTGTCCTCTGGTAAGGGTAATGTGTCACCTAAAGGACCATGCAGCACACAATTCCAGACAGACATCATTCACATATTAGTATACAATCCATATGATCATTCATTATAGTCCTGGTAGCATACTGTTTACACTATTTACCTGACTTTTTATATTTATAATATATATTAGAGGCTTCCCTGCAATGCTAAAAAATGATTTCATTCATTTTAAGGCTGCATAGCATTCCTTGCCTTATGTAGCATACTGTTTAACAGTTTTTATTTATTTATTTTTTTCTAGTCTCTGGACGGTTCTTTATTTTTTTAGGAGTTTATTGTCAAGTTGGTTTCCATATAACACCCAGTGCTCATCCCCACAAGTGCCCTCCTCCATGCCCATCACCTCCCTTCCCCTCCCCCACCATCTGCCCTCAGTTTGTTCTCAGCATTCAAGAGTCTCTCCTGGTTTGCCTCCCTCCCTCACCTCCACTATTTTTCCCCTTCTTCTCCCCCATTGTCCTCCGTTAAGTTCCTTCTAATCCTCCTATACATGCAAACATAAGTGTTTAACAGTTTTTAATTCAGAGGGGCAGGAGATTCTTAATCTAATCTCCTCTTGTCTTCTCCAAGATCTAAACCCATTAGTTAATCCTCTCTCTTAATCTTACATTACTGACACCTTCCCCATAATCTACTCACATGCTCAAGTCTTTCCTTTGATCTTTCAAGCCTTTCTCTCACTAAAATATATTTCCCATTCCTTTCACAATTAAAAACCTAGAAATAATGGTCCTCACCCAAACACTCCCCCTTCTCTACCCATTCACCATTCGACCAATTGTAGTCAGGATCCTGCCCTGATCATTACAGTGAGGTTATGTGGGTACAATCACCAGTGTCCTACTATTTGCCAAAAACAAGTGAATCTTAAAAACCCAACTTTCTGACATCCTTATTGACTATGCCTTATTTGGAATTCTCTCCAACATTGGCTTCAATGACACTGCTCAGTCCTGGATCTCCTTAGATCTCTTCTTCCTTTCTTAGTCTCTTGCCAGTTTCTCATCCTCTTCCAGGCAGATATAAGACAGGATTCTGACTCTGACCCTCTATTCAACTCATTCTGTACAGTCTTTGATCTGTTTTAAGCCTCCCACGTTCCTGTACATGTGATTGATCCAATATTCACATCTTTCATCAAGGCCTCTCTGAGTCAAATCTATGCTGCACTGTTTGCTAGGCACTTGCATCTGGATTCTCACACTACCTTAAACTCGACACATTTAGAATTGTGTTCTCTTGTGCTGCTGAGTCTGTTTTCCCTTTTTCTCTTACAAGCAGTTTCCTCAACAATAGCAAACATATCTTTTTCTTAGGCTTGGTACTTAGCCTTTCAATCCCCAAAAGTCTGCTGCAATGTCAAATAACTGCTGAACAGGACTGAAGATGAAGTTATATTGGCTTTCTCTCATGCAACTGCCAACATGTGGCCAAGAAAAAGTTTCACACATTCATACCTGGACAAACTTTGGGAGTTCAAATTGCCCCATCTGGCACTTTCTCCTCTGTACTCTCATCACAGCACTTAGCCAGATAGTTACTCACATCTTGGTCTGTCAGGTGTGAGTCAAAAACTGGTCCAACACATCGTTGAAACCAATAGTGGCATTGCTGAATTACCTAAGGTGAGGTAAGGTATAGGCACACCCCATTCATTTCGCTGGAGGGCAAGTGAGGAGACTCACAGAAAAAATCTCACACCCAAAACTCCCTCTAATATTCAAATAATGACCCTCTATATTCATGATGTTATAAAATAATTTAAGACAGATGTACCTGGTTTTTAATAATCTCCTTAAAATGTGGCAACTTGTCTTATAGCTCCTATGTAATATGTTATATCTTGTGCCTTCTTACCCCAGTCAAAACTTCCATTTTATCATCCTATTATATTATCATACCTTTGACTAAAAATTCTACCCTAGTAAATCAGCCCTAGAAAAATAACCCAAAATACCAAAGAGCCATATTTTAAAAGATTTCTACCATAGCTTTACTCAAGTAGTAAAAAACTGAATATTATTCAAATATTCAACAATATGATAATAGGTAAGTAAGTTAAAGAACCCCCACTCAACAGAACCCACATATCCATTAATAATTTGAGTTAACACAGGAACAATCTTAAACTATATGTTAAGCTAAAAAAAATCCACAATTGAATATAAAGATGGACAATGGTGTACAGAAATTTTCTGCACAGAAAAAGTGAAATATGAAATCAGAACATTAATAGTTTTCTTTAGATGATGTGATTTTTAGTAATTTATTTTTCCTTTTCACCTCAAATTTTTATAATGAGAAAAATCAAGTGACTTTTAAATGTAGTCATAAAACCCCACACTTTCCAAGCTGATTCATCTCTATGGTTGGCTTGAGACTACTTCCTTTGAGCCAAAGCACCACAATGGAGTAGACTACAACTTTTAAACTCAGTCATCTTTCTTCCTCCTCTAAATAACAAAATAAACTGGCCACTAAGTGTTTTAATAGTATGCACAAATAAACCTAACATCTGGTAATGAGACACTGAGCTTTCATCTCACTATCCAGGAAGGATGTTTGAGGGATAATTGAAAAATATTAAAGACTGAATAATTAATTATCCAATATTTTTAATCATATTAGGTTGTTCTCTAAAGGTGGGAGAAAACTAAAATTTTTATTTTTTACTCCATCCATCAGGTAAGGAAGCAGAGCTCTGAAGAATAATATCTCGAAGCTTCAGTAATTAACCTACCCATGTTTTCCACTTTGCAAAATTAGTTTACTTGCCAACTCAATCTGCCAGTATTCTCCTAACTTTTTAAATGTGAATTGTGGCAATTCTGCAAACCAATCTATTGGGCAGTCTGTCAAGAAATAACTGCTACTGTCAATTACATTTTGTCTTTCCTAATGGAGTTATTGGGGAATATTTCAGGTTTTTAACATTTTTAAATTGACATGTTTATTGATTCTTGCTCTCTTTATGTGCCTTATACATAGTGTTGGCATCCCATGTCAAAACGCTAAACTTTACAACTCGAAACTCACCGCTGCAATAGGTAACTTCCTTAGGTTATTAGCAAATGTCACTAATGCAATTGAATAGCAAGTATTAAAATGAAATGTCTGTCTTTAGACCTTCCTGAGAATCTAAAATAGTAATTATATGCATTAGTGATACTTTCTGACAATGAAGCTCTTAATTTTTTAAATCCAAAGTGGCCTTTTCTACAATTTCTTAGCAAAAATTGGAAAGAAGTTGCAATTAAACTATTGAGACCACGTTATCATCATCCATCTTCTTTCAATCCAAAACAGTGGGTGATATAAGAGGGAAAGTTCTAAAGTTCTTTAATTGGAACTAATGCTTATCGACCTCTAGCAACTTTGGCAAAGCTCAAAATAGCAGATAATAGGATGATTAATGCTTTAATCCCCTAACAAAAGGGTGTTGAGCCTGTTACTATTGCTCATTCCCTTCTCATTTTATTTAATTTTGTTTTCCTTGATTCAGAACAGTTGCTTTTAATGGAAGAATCATGTCTATCCCAAGAAAGTGTTTGCTACTTGCAGCAAGAGGAAATAAAATTCAGGAATAAGACTGAAAAAACAGGGATTCTGTTAGAATCTGAGAGGTGTTTTCCTTATTTTCATGGTGCAATGGTATTTACTGTGTATTAAATGCTCCTGTTATCTAGTAAAAAATATTTAGAATATATGACTCCTTACCTTTGAGGACTTTCTCTGCTCCTGCAGGACTTATCAGCATGAAGTGCATTTAATACATGCCTAAAATGTGCAGATAGAGAAAAGAATAAGATGTCCTTCTTCCACAAAGCTTGTAACTCCCCATTGACATATAGGACCACTTAATACACACCTATGAGAGATTAGGAAATACACAATCCAAACTAGTCCTAGCATGTGGGGTAGATTACTCATATGACAAGAATTCAGGACATCCAGGTGGCTTAATCAGTTAAACGTTTGACTACTGATTTCAGCTCAGGTCATGATCTCACAATTACTGAGATCAAGTCCCACTTGAGCTCTATGCTGATAGCATGAATTCTGCTTAAAATTTTCTCCCTCTTTCTCTGCTCCTCCTCTGTGCATGCTCTCCAAATACATAAATAAATAAGCAAATAAGAAAATAAATAAATAAACTTAAAAAAAAAAGAACTTAAAGAATGAAAAATTCAGGAGGTTCTTGAATGGCCTAAGAAAGGCTTCCCAGAAAATGTTGAATAGGATCCTCTTGAAAGACAGCTTGAGACTGGATGAGTGGCAAGTTTGGATGCTAGTTCCTTGTAAGATCCATCTCCTAACTCTCTTTTGGTGTGGCTTGGTTTCTACTTGCGTGATTGTAAATTTTTTAGATAAATGAGGCCTCAAATAAGGAAAGCAAATACTGGAGAACACCTTGTGAAGCTCAGAGTCTTAACCCTATTTCTCTTCTTGCCTGATGTAGAATGTGAGAAATTGGCTTGGGTCAAAAATAAAAGTTTTGTTAGATGGTCAGTCAGTCAAGGGAAATGCTAAAGAAATGTATTTGTGACCAATTGATGGGGACAAGTGCCATATCTTAAGATTCAGGTCTTTACAAACATCTTCATAAGTCTCTATACCCAGCTCTCCAACACCATTATGAAGGCAAGCAACAGCTAGCCGTAATATTCCAGCCAGCTGTATGGCCTTATTTATATGACACGCACAACACCAAGCTAACATTTACTAGTATAGGTGATAAGACTTTTCAATAGGTTCTCAGCAGTTACAATCTACAGAGCAGTTGAAAATTCTGAACTGAATACACCATTAAAAAGTTTTAAATATTCATCACCTTCTTGTATCATCACAGAAAATAATTTGAGTATGCTCTGAGGTTTTCTTTGTTATGAAATATTTAAATGTTGTCCTCAAGATTTTGGATTCTCTGGCTTAATCCGACATTTTACAAGAAAACAAGTTAATTTCTGCCTTGGAATAAACAGCACTCTTTCTGGTCTATTTTCAATCCATTTGGTCCCTTAGATTTATGTCTTCCCTTCCCAGTTTCTGTCTCTGCTTCCCAACCTGAACCTTGTAATAATCAGTTTTTTTCCAAGCCACTTGATTCTCTCAGAATGCCTCTAAAATTTCCCATAGATAGATAGATGGATGGATGGGTGGATGGATAGATACACAGATACAGAGATAGATGCTATAGGTAGATAGATATATAGACATACAGATATATAGATGATATGGAGATGGAGATTAGACATAGAGGTAGAGTTAGAGATAGAGATGAATATATATGTTTCTATTTATGCATGTCTTTGCTCCTCAGAAACTGCTTATGACATATTGATTGAAGAGTGAAAAAAAAGAAATATCAAGCTCAGAAAAAAAACTTTCCAAACTGGGTCTCCTCAAGGCTGAATTTTTTCATTTTGCTAAAACGAATATTTTACTATTTCTCCCTAGAATCCAAGATTCTTCTCTCATTTCCATTATGGTGGGTTATAATTCTTGTGCATTTTCTAACTCTCCATTGACAAATATTGCCCTGGGCTTCTCCATAGACTGACTTGGAATTACCAATATGGGAAGATCAAAGTCATATTCTGGAGTGCTAAGGAAGCAAGGGAAGACAGTGTCAATGTTCACTGAATGACAAAGGTTACTTCTACATCATTAAAAATCTAATAAATAAAAACTAAAAAGGAATACCAAAAGCTTGTTAATGCAATTAGACCCTTAAACAACTCCCATAATAGTGAATAGTTTGAAAGTATTTTAACTTGTTATTCCTCTTCAGCTCTTCACAACAACTTTGAGGCAAAAATAAGACTCACAGTAGAATGTCCCCAAGTTGTATGTTTTCCTCTTCAGCCAGATCTGGAGTGGTCAGGATCTTTACCCCCCTGCTGCCACCACCATACCCTTCTACTTGATGCCAGAGCCAAGGCCACAGATGGCCACAGAAAAGTTGCTGAAGGAATGCAAATGTCTTTAATTACACGGACAGCCTATGGTGCTATCAGTGGCCAGCTGGGCTCAGAGCCCCAGTTTCAAGGCCAAGTTAAGCAAAACTGTGCAAGCATATGGAGATGTGACATTACTGCTCCTCTCTCTCTAAGCCTGAGATGGGTATGGGTATGGGGTGCCCATGTGATATGTCAAATCATGGCACAGATAGTGCAATAAAATTATCTTTTGATTTGCTCTTTTTTATATCTCATTGGTAAAGAAATGTTGTGAGGGAGGCATTTGGGATTTGTAAAGATAAGCACACTAGAATTAGGAGCTTAGAGTGCACACATACTCAGGAGAGGTCCCAGTGTGGAGCAGGGTGAGAGAAACTCAGTGACTTGCCCAAGGTCACACAAGCATCAGAAAACAATAATAAATAATAATATACAATAACAATTAATAAAAACCTCTCTTCTCCTAGGATTCATTTCTCAACATTTAGAAGCCCTCTGAGGTTGACAAAGCATTTCATCAAGAGCAGAGTAACATGATTTAATTTCTATAATTAATAATATGCCACAGCACTTTGAAATTATAAGATTTCATCACCATTGAACTACTTTTTACTAAGAACATCTCCAAAAGGTGATAGCTTGGTAGCTTCATCCTCACTCTTCAGATAAGGCCAACTAACACACTTAGACTTATAAATTAATGAATAAGAAAGTACTAGCAAGAAGATCAATCTGAAGGAAAATATAAAATTAATACAGAATAAAGAGAGGTCTATATGAATTAGAATGCATTTCAAAAGTGTTCCTGATTTTAAAAGTTCCCTGTCTTTGTGGAGGTGTCATTACTTAAGTCGAAGCCAAAGGCCTTGATGATCTCTGAGGGGGAGGAGAAGTAATATATAAATCACAGAGCAGTGTTCTCCAACACAAAATCCTCTTTAATTATAGAGAAGGTGAAACATTCTGTCTTTCTCTATTTTTTTCATTTGAATAAAAATTAAATCCCACTGAATTGTTCTCTTTCTCCATTATGTTTATATTCATGTGTCACTTCAATGACTGGAAGCACACTAATGCTTTTCTCCCAATCTGATCCTGGATGGGTGACTAGTTTGCTTTTGAAAGAAGAAAGTTCAAAATATAAATAATATATTCTTGTTGATTACAGCTTTTAAGCAGGTAACACCTAACATGAAAACATTGCTTTCAGAGTCACTCAAATAATGCTTTTTACATAACAGGCACCAGAATATTATCAAGTCTTTTATTATGTGAATGTTCTGGTTAAAAAACAGAAGAATGTCAATGGTGGTAAGTGACACAATTAACCTATTGAAAAATCTTCCACTAGAAGTGGTAAAATAGCCACTGCTCAGTCAGTAAAATGAGAGTATATAAAACACAGTAAACAAGCAGAGGAGGGGGGAAAAAGTTCTACTCTGTCAGGAATGGATGCAATGACCTTAAAAGTTCTCTTTTCCTTTTATGAGGTTTCAGGATTCTGTCTCCTTTCCTTGTACCTTGAAAAAAAAATGACCTTTTTGTTGTCAGTCGTTCTGTAATGTAATTGCTAGTCATTAAAGTCATTTGGCTCACAACTAAGACAAGGCAATCAGCCTTATGGTTTTGTGCAGTTTAGGAACGGGACTTACAGGCCTATCCCAGGATGGGAGGCAGAGGCCTTCCAGAAATCATTTATGAGTGGAGCCTTATATAATCTCAACCCTTTTCTAAGTGTCATTATAAAAGGTCAGCAGCACAAATGCCCCTTAGGTGCTGAGGAGAAGAAAAGAATAAGCAGCTATCTCTACTTCACTCCCTCTACTATAAACCAACCTATACCCCCGCAAAAGGGACATTCCATCACCATCAGTTTGGACAAATTAAGCCTGCTCAAAAGTCACTGTGACTTCTATTGCCTGCATCATGATATGCAAGGCTTGGATATAAATATCCACCATGACTTAATCCTACTCTTATAACTATTTTTCTTATGTATTTACTCTTCTGTATATTTACCGCTCCTTGCTTCTTAAGCTTTTCCATGTCTTGGCCCAATGTGTTCCACCTGCCTAAGATGGTCTCTTCCTGTCTGCTACACTTTTTTCATGACCCAGCTCAAGTAATAACCCTACAAAGTCACCCCAATGATCCCATTTCCTAGTCACCTCACTTCTAAATATTTTTGTCCTTGCTATTCATTGGCCATTCAGTATATGCTGCCCTGTTATATACCATGGTGATCACTTTAGTATAACTTTATTGGGGGCAAGGACTATGTGTTAGGCAATATATCTCCTGTATTCACCATGGAACCCAGAACATGGGAATAATAACACTATATTTGTAGAGCACTTTGAAACACACAAAGCAGGAGCTCTCAAGATTGCCAAACTCCAACAATAGCATCACTGCACTCCACTGTCCCAGCCTCACCATGAGAGTCTTCTAAGCCATTGCTCCCCTGTTCTCACCTTTAACTCTTTATCTGCATTTTATACATGGAGACACTGAGACTCAGAAAGTTGATTATCCCATATTTATGGGTATGTGAGAACCTGAAGGCCAGTCCTGATCTTCTAACTCCAAATCCAATGATCTTTCTACTTTACCACACAACCTCCATAATAAGCATTCAAAACATTTTTTGTGGATTTGGATCTTGGCTATAAAGACTAAGTTACTCCAATAACTTGGTAGAGGAGCAAAGGCATGTGTGTTTGTGTGTGTGTGTGTGTGTGTGTTGCATCAAATACTGAGTGCAATGGATTAAAAAAAGTAGTAGTAAAGATAGTAAATAAACAAATGAACAAATAA